AAAAAAAAAAAAGAACATTGAATATTTGTGTTGAATAAAAAATCGTTCTTAAATAACCCCATGAAATAATTACAAAACAAAAAATTAAGAAAGCTAACAACAGACGATCGTCAAAATTTTATAGTAATAGTAACAATAAAATAAATGTTCCAAAAACTCAAATTGAACGAAGAAAAAAATATGTTAAAAAATGTGTAGTATCGAAACAAAGGGAAATTGTTTGATCACCCAAAAAAAAAGGCAAGACACGTCCGAGATTGGCAAAAGAGTAATGCAATAATAAAAATAAAAATACTATATTCATCACCACCACCCAATAATTGCAGGTATGGACCTCGAGCACGCGAGAGTCGCCCTAAAAGCCTTGGCTCGCTTCCACGGCCTCGGAATAGCAATGAAGCACCAAAAGCCGGATTTCTTCGACACCATGAAAAAACGGTCCAAGTGCCTGACAATCGACGGCGTGGACTTCGAGGAGTCCATGGCACCGGTCCTGCAACTCTTCCGCGAGGACCCCGCGATGTCGACGCACCAACACCGACTCGAAGCCGCCATGAGACAGAGTAGCGCGACCTCGTGGGCGGCAGTGCCCCCCGAGCCGTACTCTACCATCATCCAAGCCGACTTTTGGGGCAACAACATCATGTTTCTGAAGGACCCGGACACCGGCCGCGTCGCCGACGTCAAATTCGTCGACTTCCAGAACTACCTGTTCATGAGTCCCCTGCGCGAGCTCGTGTTCTTCCTCGCCACCGGCTTGGAGGCGCCGGTCATGAACGACGCCGAGGCGTTCGACGGGCTCATCGATTTTTACCACGAGCACTTTGTAAAGACGCTCGCGCGGATGAAGTGCGACCCGGGGCCGTTTTCGAGAGAGAGGTTCGACGCGCAGCTGAGGGTCGACGCGTTCGAGGAGTTCCCGCACTGTCCGTTTATGCTGAAAATCATGACTAACGAGGTGGAGAGGGACGCCAAGAGCAGCGATATCAGGGATCGGATGATGAACACGAGGGTCAACGAGCTGTGGCTCGAGAGGCTGCGCCGGTGCGTCGCCAAGTACGCGGAGAAGGGGTGGCTCGGCGAGTGACGCGGCGCTGTTTACCTTATTGTCGAGGTGTATTTTAATACCTATGTTTAAATCTTTGGAACATAATTATGAGGAAGTTGAATTTTCTAACGACATTTTTGCGATAAAAGTCATGCCTTGCGATTGGTTTTTTTTTTTTTTTTTTTTTCTTACGCTCGTAAGAATGGAAGCTCAAAACATCTAACGTCACTATCAATGCACGTCGATGTGCACATTATATTATATGGAACGTGAGTAAAAAGATATATTAATCTCAAAAGGTTCGTGTCCAGTTGGATTCACCGAGATTTTTAATTTTTTTTAAAAAAAGTATTTAAAAAAAAACTATGTTTTTTTCATAATCCCCTCAGCCGTTTTTTTACGTCGTAATAGTATTTTAATAATCATAGTAATAAAACTTTTCACTCATCGGATGAATCGTCACCCCAAATTTTTTATAATGTATTTAAACAATTTAAAATTGTTGTTCAAGTCATTATTCTAAGCAAAAAATATTTAATTAAATTAAGTTTTTTTTGTTGAGATTTTATCGTATATTATGCCTTACTGCAGTTAATTATGAGTATTACTTGTTTTACGTCATTACTGCAGTTAATTCAAGTAATTTTTTGCGCAAAAGATAATAAAAAGTAAAGTATTATGAAATAATTGGTTAATGATTGAAAATTTTCCGAAACATTATTCTTAAATTAATTATTCTGCGAGCACAATACAAAGGGTTTGCACGTAACCAATCTTGTGATAAAAATGACGTCATTTGAACGATGCGAAAATGTTTCCCCAACGATGCGAATGATACATTCATGTCACAGATACGCGTAAGTATTGGTGCATCATCAGTTACGCACAAAAATTCCCAGCTGGGAGTACCCAAAAATAAAAAATTAAGCATTGCTCGGAACAAAATTTCCCTATGCATGGAGTATGGAGAAACTCGCAAACTTGAAACAAATGAGGAGGTACGATCGCACGACAAAATTTTTTTGTAGTACATATTTACCTACATACAATTTCTTTTTGAATTTCAGAATAAGTAGAGAGAATTTTCTTGTTATTTCTTATATTATTAATCTTGATAAGTATCTTTTCTAAATAGATTAAATGTTTTAAAGAAATTTCATTTGGTGTTGAGGAACTCCTGACTGGAGATTTTTTGCGGAAACGCTTATGTACCATTTACTTACCACAGGAATGTTTGTTTTACGAAATAAGAACGTATCAAAAGTGTATCTTGATGTAGCAAACATTACATCTTGATTAAAACAACGTGCAGCATATTTTTTCCACATTAAAAAAAAAAAAATTGATTATATATTGATAATTTTTATTTTTAGGCATTATTTTTACATTATTAATTTATGTATGCAGTTAATTATTAAGGACTTGATAATGTATATTTATCTGAGTCGTGCTATATTAGATGTTCCATTGATTTCACTGTTCGGCGTCTTTCATATTTTTCATGTCTTATCTGTCACTTTGTATTATTAAAGTTCCGATCATTGAAAGTATAATAAAAAAAAAATCTTCATCTTTGTGTACACACCAATCTTTCAGTTTTGATGAAATGTTGCCACACACTAAATTTAATACTTTTCTTTTAAATTCGAATGAAAAGATAAAAAAAATTCTTAAAATCTGAAGCGTGCAATAAATAACGCTTTACCTGTGAATTTCGCTAAATGTTTTAGCACCCATAATGAGCTTCATCAGCCACCATGAAAGATTTAATTAAAAACTGTTTTGATTTTTTTTTTTTTTTTTTTTTTTTTTTTTTAAAAAAAATTTTTTTTTTTTTTTTTTTTTTTTTTTTTTTACTGTGATATTTGGCTTTACAAACAATCGCACCAATGTCTCGATTGCAAGTCTCGATTTTTCATTTTTTGTCGTGCTTTTTAAACGTAANTCTTCCGTCTCTTTCATTTTATTTACGTTTAACCACTGACCACTTTTTTTTTCAATTCCGAACCGATTTTTTTTTTTTTTTTTTTTTTTTTTTTTTTAAATTAAAAGTTCCAATCTCGTTTTAGTTTCGTAACGTCTGACCGAAATTTCCTCTTGCACCTTTTGCTGTCACGCATTGAGACTTTATTTTATTTTATTGTTATTTAAATACCAAATTTCTTTTTTTTATTTTTTTTTTTCCCTGTTATCTCTTTATAAAGCCAAACAGTGGCGATGAACAATCCTCGGGAAGAAAGCCTATGCGTCACGTCATTAAACCGCTGTTATCTTTTTATACACACGCGTGACTCTTGGCGAGGGGAACCGCAGCGATCGCAGGTAGTCTCCGTTGCGACCTGAGCGTGCGAGTTTGGCAATATACCGCTGCTTCGCCAAACAGTAGATTTTTATTTATTTATTTTTTTCAAATAGTCAAAGCTTTAAAGTCCATAAGAACCAACCGAGAGGGTAGGGGAAAAAAAAAAAAAAAAAAAAAAAAAAAAAATAGAAACAATGTCGGAAACAGCGCTGGTGCATAAAATGGAGCTGCGGGACCTCGAGTCGGTGCTTCGGAGGAAGCTGGGCGATCAACTCGCCGTGGTCAGTTACGACACGGAGCCCCTGATACCGTTGGGCGAGAACTACTGCAGCACGATACTCAAGGTGCGGGCGATCGTCAAGGACAGCGCGGACGGGGCGGAGCCGAGGGAGCTGAATCTAGTTGCCAAAATGATGCCCGCGACGGATTACCAGAGACAAATATTCGACAGTAAGTTCACGTTTAGGAAGGAAAATTTTTTCTACCAAAAGCTCCTGCCCGCTTATCAGCAGCTGGAACGGGAGTTCGGGGTCGGCAACGACGAGATCTTTGACAACGCACCGATGTTTTACGGAGCGAGATCGTCCAAGCTCGCCGGGGACGACGAGGCCATTGACGACGACGCGGTCATTTTGATGCAGAATCTCAAGGTGCTGGGCTACTACACCATCGACAGGATGAAAGGTGAGTATAGCCTTATTTGCTCCGTATGGGGATTCTTGTCAAGATTTCTCCAAAGAATTCAGCTGGATTCCGGTTTAAAGCTCCTACCGATTTTTCCCAATTTTCATCGTTGCTCTAGCCTTACGAAATACATTGGCAATCCGGTGTTTTGTTTTAAATTAAATGATTGTTTGAATTAAATTTTAAATTGAAAAACTTGCGTTAAAGTCTCCAATTTTGGTGGTGGACACGATGGCATCCCCGAAAAAAGGGGGACGATGCCCCATTTACCGTTGAAATCACCATAGGGTTTTATTACTGGAATCACTGAATTTGATGAACATCGAGCGAAATGAGTACGATGCTAACGAAGAAAAAAAAAAAATTGTTCAGGAATGGACGAGGACCACGCGAAAACGTCGATAGTCGTGCTGGGCCGGTTCCACGCCCTGAGCGTGGCAATGAGGCACCACAAGCCCGAGTTCTTCGAGGTGATAAAGGAAAACTCAAAGTGCCTGCGATTCGAGATCGAGGAGGACGACGTGGAAGAAATCCGGATATTCGTCGAGACGATGCGCACCGACCCGGTCACCTGCCCGTACTACGAGGACATACGGGCCTCGATGGCGCTGGACCTGCACGAGGTGTGGGAGGGCTTGCCGAGCGCCGACTGGGCCAGCATCATACACGCCGACTGTTGGACGAACAACATCATGTTTTTGCAGGACCCGGACACCGGCCGCGTCGCCGACGTCAAATTCGTCGACTTCCAGAACTACCTGTTCATGAGTCCCCTGCGCGACCTCGTGTTCTTCCTGATGATGAACCCCGACAGCCACGTCATGGACAACAAATTCGACGAGCTGGTCGATCTGTACTACGACACGTTCGTCGCCCACCTCGAGAGGCTGGGGTGCGACGTGGCGCCTTTTTCGAGGGAAAAGTTCGACGCGCGCCTCAAGATCGACGCCTTCTGGGAGTTTCCCCACATACCGTTCATGACGAAAATCATGACGACCCAACTGAAGCACGACGACAACGTCACTGTGCTCGAGGACGTTATCAGGAGCACGGAAATGAGCCCGGCTTTCATGGAGAAGATACGACAGTGTGTGCTCAAGTACGCGGAAAAGGGATGGTTTTCCGCAAAGTGAATACACCCTTGTTGTACTTTCCACGGTATTTTTCCCTCCTTTTTTCCTTTTTTTATTATTACAAATCCATCGGTAAGTTGAGCAATAATTTCCACTCCTACCCGGGGAAAAGAACAATGTTTATTGTACAGTTTTCACGTAAAAATTCCTGTATTTGGTCATTTTTCGAATATTTTCCAATTCATCGGCAAACCCGATGGATCAACGGGTGTAAATGAACTCGGAATAATTCAGTCATTTGCGTTACAATTATTAATAAGGAAAAGTATGTCACAATAGTTCAGAATATTGAAGCGTCAAAGCGTAAATTGCGCGTTTTGTGAGGGGAGAAAAACTTATGATGCAAAAACATCATGTTCCGATGTATACAACAAAAAAATTCACTCGTATATTATGTGCAAAGAGAATAAGCAAACATTTTTTTACAACAACGAGTTTTGAATACTGCTTTACGATAAGACTGATGAAGTTGTCAGGTATCCATAGTGACATCGATTTTGCATACCAGTACTTTTTAACTCTTTGGCTTTCATTTTGTGTATCAACAGTTTAACGGTATAGTAGCGCTGTAACAAAAAAACCTTTACCAGAGAATTTTGATATTGAATTAATCCTGTGTTTGCTTTCGTTTTATTTGCGGGTAATGAAAAATTACAGAACTAAAACTGTCTTCAACGCCAACAAGTCCAACAATTATTTGCGACTTAGCCATATAACAGATGATTCATGTTAAATGTTATATCTCCTTTTTGGCTATATCGACATTAAATTTTTGTACAAAACATCTGTATCAAATAAAATGATTATACTCTTCAGAGGAAATTGCGTCCTTAGTAAAAATTATTCAATTTCAAATTATGACCATGAAACTGCATATTATACTCTGTTACTATGACTACTTTTATTGATTGGTTTTATGAATATTTTCATAGTACGTTTGATACGATACTTGTTAAAATATATCTGACCACTTGTAAGCGTTGTTTATTTTCTGAAACCTTCGTACTGGTCCAATCAAAATCAGCTTGTTTATTATTTCAACTAAACAAGACTTGGCAAAATAAGTGTAATATCGACAATAATAACTATCAGATGTGTATATATATATATGTTACATAACAGAAGGTAGGTACGTGTGAAGTATAACTTGGAGTTTTTTCAATTTATTCTTGTTTGAAACTTTTATTTGAATGTCCTTTTGACTTTACCAATGAGTAAGAATGGTTGCAAAAAAAAAAAAAAAAAAAAAAATGAAGCTCGAAAATAACAAAGTGTGAGATAATATCTGCAATTACTTGAAACACAAAGTGCCTTGAATCAATTGCAGGAAACGTAGATTCATAGCCGCAAGTGACGATGGTAGTTTGGCTAAATTGAGAATCATATTGATGTAGAACAAAAGCGTGAATTAAAAAATAGGTTTCATTCATCAATAAGCACTTTTGATGGTATGTATAGGAAAATACATTTTTCCGCCCTCGGGTGGTTTTGGGAGGCTGGTACTTCCTCGGGCGAAAAAGCAGTTTTCCGATACTCGTTCGAAAAGTCTCCTTTTCCGCCCTCGGGTGGTTTTGGGAGGCTGGTACTTCCTCGGGCGAAAAAGCAGTTTTCCGATACTCGTTCGAAAAGTCTCCTTTACGAACCTCGTTACGTCCTTCGCCTTCGGCTCGGGCCGCAAACCTATCGGTTCGCAAACAGAGACTTTTCAAACTCGTAGGAAAACTACTATTTCCGCCCTCGGGTGGTTTTGGGAGGCTGGTACTTCCTCGGGCGAAAAAGCAGTTTTCCGGAACTCGTTCGAAAAGTCTCCTTTACGAACCTCGTTACGTCCCTCGCCTTCGGCTCGGGCCGCAAACCTCTCGGTTCGCAAACATAGACTTTTCAAACTCGTAGGAAAACTACCATTTCATCTTTACCCAATATTAATTTGTTATATTTGTAAGTAGGTTTTAATTGTATGGTTTCTTATTTCAAGGACTGGACTTTCGTAACAGGTGGTTAAAAAAAAAAAAACAGAGCAACATAAAAAAAGTACATTATTCTGGGAATTTAACAGTGTACCTCGTGTAATTTGAAATATTTTTTAAAATGACGTCGACATATACCTACGTGTTTAAACAGTGATATCTAATAATCTTAACGTCTTTATTAAATAAAACAAATACTCGTTATCAAAACTAAGCATATAGACTAGTTTCATTAACTTATTGTTACAGTAATAAAAAAAAAAAAAAAAAACTAATATTTTTAAATAAAAACACGCAATATAATGTGGATGTTTACCTGGATAATACAAGTGCTAGTAATGTAATTTGAAAACAAAAAAACTAGAGCAGTTAAGAAACTTTAATCGCGTAACGCGAGCGATCATAAAAAAAATTTTTTTAAATAGCGAAAAGCCTTGTATGTCGTCCGCGTCTCGATGAAGATAATGATAAAATACTTTATTAAAAAAAAAAAAAAAAAAAAAAAAAGCACTATCAAACGCATCAAACGGAACTTGTAAGATAAGAAATGTTTGCCGTGATGGAAGGTCGAAATATCTGCAGTTAGGACCAAGTTCGAATAACAAAACACTCGTACCTATGTTTTGCAATGAGGAAATCATTAAAAATCGTTACGTGACGCAATGGGTATACTTACAAAGTATTCCTCGCACAATGGTGAACGTATATATGACATGCTACTGGGAAAAAAAAAAAAAAAAAAAACAAATTAATTGCAGTGTGACGAATCTGTCATTATGTGAGCACACGTGTACAGAGACGTTTTCACGCATTAGTTGAGAATAACATTGCACTGGTATACGACACACACGCTTACACACGTGAAACCGATTCTCCAACACGGGTGCAAAATTGATGACACGAGCGTTTGCAGAAAAGAGAAGTGGCAGCTGGAAGGCAGCGCAGGGGGTGCCGTGCGTTTGATTGCGCCGGTGAGTGGGAGAGAAGGTCGCGTAACGTAGCGATGATGGCTTTCCGAGCTTCCACGATAAAGTTCTCGAGCAGAGAGTTGGAGTAGTTTCGCGCGTTTTCGTTCAATCACAGGAGCTCCGCAACTGCAGCTCTTTTTTTTTTTTTTTTTTTTCCCCACGCACAAACGCGAAACTCCCACTGGTGGCGATCGGTAAAAAACCTCTGCTTCGTTGATCCAACAGTCATTTTCGAGTATCCGTGTATAATCGTGAATCCTGCAACATCACAGTGAAAAGGGATCTTCGAGACGATCCAGCGTTTTATTAATTTATCGGCCAAAAAATCGGTTTGACGCTGGTTGGGGGGGGGGGGAAAAATGGCCTCAAACGACGTCGCAGCTGCGAGTCAGCCGGAAATCGTCCTGCGCGACCTGGAATCATTACTGCGGCAAAGCCTCGGCGAGCAGGCGCAAGTCGTAGATTACACAACAACCCTGTTATTGCCGAAAGGGGAGAATTACGCGAGCACGATATTAAAGGTGGACGCGGTGGTCAAGAGGACGAAAAATTCGCCGGAGGAACGGCTACCGCTGGTGGCGAAAATGCTCCCGCCCACGGAGTTCCAGAGGAACATGATCAACGCTACTGTGGCCTTTAAAAAGGAGTTCTTTGTGTTTGAGAGATTGTTGAACGTTTACAGGCAGATCGAGGAGGAGGCAGGGGTCCGGCCCGAGGACCAGATAGACGTGCTGGCCAACTTTTACGGCGGAAGGCTTACGCTGAACGAAGGCAGCGAGGATGCCGACGACGACGCCGCTATGCTCATGGAGAATCTCAACGCACGCGGTTACTACACGATGGACCGACTAAAAGGTGGAAAATCACATCTTTTTGTCCCCACTTACACGTGGAAAAACTTAACATTGTGAGGGCCATTTTTGTTGTTTTTTTTTTTTTTTTTCCAGGTTTGGATCTGAGCTGCGCAAAAATGGTCATGGCCGAGTTGGCCCGGTTTCACGCTCTCGGCATCGCGGCCAAGCAGAAACGGCCCGATTTTTTCGCGGAAGCTCGACAACTGCTGGACGTGTTTCCCTTCGAGCTGAAAGAAAATGAGTTCGACGACGTGACCGATTTGATGGTCAAGGCCATATGCGCCCATCCGCCGATCGCCAAGTACGAGGACAGGATCAAGGCCGCGGTGAAGAAACTCAATTGGGACTCTTTTTTGACCATTAGGGCCGAAGAGCCTTACGTGACCTTCATTCACGGCGACGCATGGGTGGGTCATCCAGAATCCGGGACTCTGCGCTCTTACTTGCTTCTTGTTTCATGCATTAAGTTTAACATCAAAAGCAAGAGACAACTAAGGGCACAGGGCCATCCGTGGATTTGTGTTACACTGCACGTATATTAATGAGGAACATTTTTTAAAGGTTAACAACTTCATGTTCCACAAAGGTAAGTGGTTCAAGTGTTAACTAATGGATATGCGAATGTATAATGAAAGTACAAAAATTGAACATTTTTCAACACTGGTGGGTGAAAAGGTCAACTTCTCGGGCCTTTGCATCGCGCGCGCGAAATATTCTATTCTAGTCGTTACTTTACATAATATAGATTGTTGCACAAACGAGCGCTTGAAGTTGAACTTTTCACACTAAATAAGCTGCGTGCACTGCGAGAATCGCGGATACTCTGCGCACGCTGGTCGCACAGATATGGTACAATTAATCCAACATAATGATTTGTTGCAAAATTAGAAAACGGAAAAGTCGACGGGCTAAAGTTCGTTGATTTTCAAATAACCCGTGCCACGAGTCCTCTGCTGGATCTGCCCTACTTTTTGTGCTGCAGCACGAGCGTGGAGGTCATAGACAATCACTTTGACGAGCTGATAGACATTTATTACGAAAAGTTCATCGGGGTGCTGAAAAAAGTTGGCTGCGACGTTTCCCCGTTTTCGAGGGATAGTTTCGACGAGCAGCTCAAGAAGGACGGGAGCGACGAGTTTTTCCACTGTCTGATGGCCATGAAGTTTTTCACGCTCGAGGCGACGGATGATCTGGACTTGAATGACATGAAAGGATCGGTTATGCTTTCGGCGGGGAGTAATTTGTACCTTGAACGATCGTCGAGACTTGTTGAGAAATTCGTCGAAAAAGAGTGGATATAGCATAGTAACATAATTTTGCTAACCGTTTTTTTTCCTTCAATTTTTAATTTATTTTCGAATAAAAAAGAATCCTGAGGTCATAAAGTTGAAGTCAACATTTTATGTTTATTTGATTACAATGGTTGTAGGTGATAGCATTTTGTCACGGTTACTTTGTTTGACATGTTTCACTCGATGTATATGTACTATAAAATTTTTATTATTTTATCCGTTATGGTTTTACGGTACACTAAAAAATATTTTAATGTTGTGAAAATGACTGACATTAATGTTGTAGTATACGACACTAAAGGTACATTTATTTGGAGTTTTTCTTAAAAATAAACAATGAAAATTTAACACATCGTCGAAAAATAGGCAATTTCAGACAATTTTTGTGATATCGCAACCACAATAATTTATATTAAGTGGATGTTTTCTAAATAATTCGTTCATATGAAAAACTGCGTTGGTTCTAGCACACAAACTAATTCCCTTAACCATGCTTTAGAATGGATTAAATTGTTTTTTAACCACTAATGCTCTTACCAGCACTTGTGGAGACAAGTTAAATGCTTACAAGATTATACTTTTTTTCATTGAAAATCAGTGAAATATTAATTAAAAATAAATATTTGTGTATTTGACAAAGCACAAATTAAATTATTACGAATCGCTGATGATATTCTAAAAATATAACTGAATAGATAAACTCAACTGTCAATCAGGAAGTTGTTTGTTTCCGAAATATAAATAAGTATTATCACTTTCTTTGGATTTTGAATTAAAAATTTTATTAACTACCAAACAAGATGGATTTTTTTTTTTTTTTTCACTGACATTAAGTACTCTTGAGCTTGAATGTTTTATCATAAAAAACTATATTCTAGTATTAGTACATAATATAATAATAATAATATACTTGTATTTGTTGGCGTGAATTTGAAAATGATTTAGTTACGATGAATTGGTTTTTACATTTTTACGGACTCAAAGGGTAAAACGTAGATGAAGATATCTGAAACTCGGTTTGAACTTATATTTTTTTAGAAAACGCAAATGAGGAAAAGAAAAGACAATGTCTTTCTGTCTTACTCTTGCAGTTTTTTTACGGTTAATGAGATATATTTCAAGGGTGTATATAGACGCTAATTGATGGAGTTAGATTTAACGTAAATAAAAAAATAAAAAATCACTTTTTGCGATTCGACGAGAAAAAAAAATTCTGCGAAACAAGGATAATAAATTTGTATTTGAAAAGATTATTACGTTAAACTTATTAAAATAATTAATATGTGATATACCAAAGTAAAGTGAAGTATCGACCTGTAATAAACTTTCATGTAAATACTTAACAAATACTATCATTTGTTCAACCAATTTCAAATTAATGCTAATTAAATTAATTTTTTTTACAGATGAAATTTGTCTTAAACAAACTTTTTTTTTTTTTATTCAATAAAATACAAAATGTTGATACTTGATCATGATTAACTAATCTATAATACTTGCATCAGGTGATAAAAAATAGATTTTTATCAGAAGCAAGCGATTACCAACCATTGTGAGATTAAAATTTTATATGCAGTATGGAATATTTGACCAATCGACACTTGTCTCTCCTATGGTTTTTTGACTCGAGCGTATATAAGTAAATCCGCTATTTACGCCAGTTATACGATTCTCTCAATTGCGCGCGGGTGATCATATATTACGTGGAAAGGGAGTAGGAGTAGCTGGCACAAGGTCGTGTATATAACAGCGACGCACCAATTTTCACAGTTTCAAACGAGCTGGCTCGTAGCTTTGTCATTGCCATCCCCGATCGTTGCTGATTAACTTGACGCGTACACGCCATCCTTTTCCTAGACGTAGGTTTTTTTTTTTTTTTTCAATTTTTTATTTCTGTCAAGAAAAAAATTCATCGTCGGTAAATTGCATACATACAAGGTGAGAAATTGAAAAAATTTTCCAAAGTACGTGTGATTATCGTCAGTGTGCGAAATGTCTACGACAGACACAACATCGGCTAATGACCGACTGAGTAATATCGTTTTGCGTGACCTTGAATCACTATTGCGCCAAAGTCTTGGTGAACAAGTTCGAGTGGTCAAGTACAAAACCGCGTCGTTATTACCACCTGGTGAAAACTACGGAAGTTCCGTATTAAAGGTCGAGGCAGTGATAAAAAGCACAAAAGATGCTCCGGAAGAAGAATTGTCGCTTGTGGCGAAAATGTTACCGCCGACTGAGCTGCAAAGGCTTTACATCGACCTGACAGCGTCTTTTGGAAAGGAAATTTTCGTGTTTGAAAGATTAATCAACGCGTACAGAAAAATAGAAGAAGAGGCCGGAGTGGCATACGAGGATTTGATCGATATTTTGCCCAAATTTTATGGAGGAAGGCTTTCCTTAAGGGACGATAATCGGGAAGCTGACGAGGATGCAGTTTTGTTGATGGAGAATCTCGTTACGAGCGGATACTACACCATGGATAGAATGAAAGGTACGTTGGAAATCGTCTAATATAAATATCGAATCGAAATGCAACGTTGCAAAAAAAAATAAACAAGACTATCTCTTCCGTCTCTTTCATTTTATTTACGTTTAACCACTGACCACTTTTTTTTTCAATTCCGAACCGATTTTTTTTTTTTTTTTTTTTTTTTGATTGACAAACACATCAATGCGATCGAAGCTGTCTACTTGTAAATTTTCAATAAAAACCACATTGTTAAACAGGCTTGGATGTAGATCACGCCAAGCTAGCTATAACCGAATTGGCTCGTTACCACGCGCTGGGCATCGCACTGAAAATTAAGAAGCCAAAGCTGTTCGAGGAGGGAAAAAAATATCTGGAAGTATTTCCCTTCGACACGGACAACGATTTTTTCGATGTTGCGCTGGAATACACCACAGACATGATTTGTAGCGATGAACGTATAGCGAAGTACGGAGACAAAGTCAGAGAAAAAATGAAGAAAAAATGGGCGTCCATTAGCCAGTGCGAGATCGCGAACCCCATTTGGCTGGGAATTTCTCATGGAGACTTATGGGTAAGGACCAACCAATCAAGCTTAATTACAAAATACATGCAAAACATTGTGAATCATAACTGATTGGGCATACAATTTTTTTCAAGGTGAACAACTTGATGTTTCGCAAAGGTAAAAAAAAAAAAAAAAAAAAAAAAAAAAAAAAAAAGAAATTTAAGTATAAATTTAACGCCGAAAAATGCGTATGGTATCCCCTCCGATTAACTGTTTTTGGTAGCAGATAACGGCAAGCTCGAAAGCGTCAAGTTCATCGATTTTCAAGTGTCCCAAGTTTGCAGTCCTCTGAAGGATTTGCCGTATTTCACGTGCACCAGCATCACCATGGAGGTCATGGACAACCACTTCGAAGACCTGCTGGACACATATTACGCTAAATTCATCAACGTGCTGGAAACAGTTGGGTGCGACACCAGCCCCTTCACGAGGGAGAGTTTCGACGAGCAGCTGAAAAACGATGCGAAGAACGAGCTGTTTCACTGCGTGATGGCGTTGAAAGTTTTTACGAACGAAAAATCAGATGATCTTGATTTAAATAAAATGGACAGCCAAATATTCAGTGCCAAGGGAAGCGGTTTGTACCTGGATCGGGTGTGGAATGCTGTTTCGAAGTTCGCTGAGAAAGGGTGGTTGTAGATACAAACCATAGGGGTTATTGTTATTTTTTGGTTTCTTCGGCAAGTAAAACATTATTAATTGGAGCAAGTTTTTTAGGGAGCAAAAGCGACGAGTAAAAGTATCTTTAATACGTTTTTCAACGCACATATCTTGATAATTGATAATGCATATACATCCAATTGAATTACGCATATGAAGGTGATAAACTAGATAACACACAGAAAAAAAAAACAAAAAAAACAAAAAATTAACAAGGGTTCAGGTAGAGAGATTTCTTTTTTNTATATATATATATGTGTACTTAGATACTCCTTTCTTTGTATCATGCTTTGTCAACGATTAATCAACTTTACCATCCTCGAACGCGTTCTGATCGACAGTGATGGCAGTCACGATGGCATTCTTACGAGATATGTAAAGGGTTGAGAGCTGGGGGTGGGTTTATACTTATGCATATATATTTACGTATGCGCGTCATATATATTATTGCGTAAATGCCAGCAACGAAGGTAGTTGTCTTTCATTTACTTTCTACTCAATTGTTTTTAAATCTTTTTTTTTTTTTTTTTTTTTTTTTTTTTCTTTTCGTTACGATTTGTTTGTGCTGCAGCAGTTGGAGCAGTCGAAGCAGCCGGCGTGCTATCTCTTGTTGGACCACACCGAGCTCCGGCTACTCGCGCCGAAGGAGCCGGGCAGTTGGCTCTGGAGGTCGACCAGGGACTCCTGCAGGCCCCTCTTCTCCTTGAGCAGCTCGTTTATGTCCTGCCTGGCCGTGTCGAGGCACGAGCGCAACTCTTGCTCCGCGCGACGGTAGTGCGTGTTCTCGTCGAGCAAGCGCTCCAGCATGACCAGCCGGCGCCGCAGCCCGTCGTTTTCCGAGGCCAGCTTCTCGTTCTCCTCCTTCAGCGAGGTCGCTTCCTTCGCGTCTTGGGCGCTCCGGCTCTCCGTCGTGGTTTTCACTGTGCAGCAAATTTTCCCTTTTTTTTTTCTTTTCTTATCTTTTCTTTTTTTTATTTTCTCTTTCGTTGTAAAAAGGGGGCCGTTTTGTGGGTGTTTTCTTTTTACCGATTCCGGACTCGGGGAAACAAATTGACGAGTGTGAGAGTGAACAAAAAAAATAACTGAGACTGGGCCATGCGTTTGAGTTCAAACGATGAACCTTACAAAATATTCGTCGTTTCGTACGAGTACGATGTGACGAACAATTTCCTGTAATGGTCCTCGAGCCATTGGCGCGAGTATTGGGAAGAAAATGGTCTGGGAGTTTGTCTAGGTCTAGCTGTCTAGTAAAAAATTATGTTAAAAAACAAAAACAAACCTACGAAATTTCGATCCGTACTATAGTCTAACAGCTATATTCTAAATCATGCGCCATTTATGTATACGTGCACGCGTCCAATATATTTACGTGTGTATTTTGGACGACAGAGTCTATGATAAAAGAGCTTTCTCCAAAAAAAAAAATATTCACGTCATCGACAGAATACCTTTTATTCGTATTAATTATATTATACATTATAGAGGACTTTAATTAATCTGTGATCAAGTGTAGAGCAAATACATTAGTAGCAACCTAAAGAGCTAGTTTTCAATTCTAAAAATAAAAACCGTAATGTGTCATAACGGGGTAAACATTTTTTAAATCACCGCAAGCTCAAAAAGTATTTGTTATCCAGTGTGTTTTTTATCATTCTTAAGAGAATTTTTTTTTTTTTTTTAGGAAGGGCAACCAAGTGTTTTTGAGCGAAACAATTTAAATTTTTGTGATGTGTATGCGTTGCAAAAAAATTGCAATACATAAACGAGATATAACCAGCTGAATATGTTGCTATACATAATTTATCATCGGTTCGCGGACTAAGGGTTTAAGGTGATTCTTACTGCAAAAATTTGTTGTCCGCCTCGAAAACAAGACAACGTCAATGGACGCGATTATTTTTGCGCGATAGGCAAGATAATACCAATCATTAATCAAACGAGCTACACTTGTCAAGAATTAATTCCTCGATACAAGTCGCTGTTTCCCAGCAATATTCATTGGATCTTAAGAACTAGAAAAATATGTCATTGCATTATTACTAATATTATATTCGTCAAACATTAGATTGACCGGCAATCTATCGAAAAAATCATTTTTTGTGTGCATTTCATCACGTCCCTCGAAAGGAAAAACAATTTAATTTTGTACTCTAAACACTATATTATTAAAAGAAACGAAAATCTACAACACGAATCGTGCGTGTATTTACACGTATAGGTATATCGTACAGTCTTTTATTCAATTACTTTAACGCTCGAAGCGTAAGAATTATGCGCTTACATCATTCAAATTTCGGATAAATTCTAAAATTTCAAATTTGTTCAAATTTTTCTTCTTGGTTTTTCTCGCCCTAACGATTCGCTCGATCGTTCATTTCGCGACGAAGCGATCGTGCCGTATAAAGTCAGTGTCGATCGCACACGTTCTCAAAAGTCGATATGAAAAGAGCTCCCACAAAACCCGTTCTATAATCTACACACTTTCTTGAAAACTCGTCTCTGTAAGCGTCAGGCTTTTTTTTTCCATTCAACGAAAATAGTACAAAAAATCGTGTCCACAAAATGTTATGGACCAACCACAACAATTGATATATTTTAAGTAAAATAACGCAAGTACACTTGCGCACCGCAAAGAGAAGAAAAAAAATAAAAATCACAAAAATTCAATTATTGCGGCAAAAACCACAATTGACAAAAATAAATCTACAAACAAGCACGTACATAGCTATCCTGACATACAATATGTACAGTTATAAATATATATTTATATTTATATAAAACTTGCAACACGAAGATAAACCATGTGAAACTTTAACGATTCGTGTATATCGGCAAAACAATCGATAATCATACGTTATTGCGACCGAGATTTAGTCCACCGATAAGTACAACGTATTGTTATTATTATTATTACTATTATAATTATTATATTTGTACGTAAACGGTGAGGAAACCAATGGATTCTTACGTATAGATTTGCTTAATCGCACGCTTAATCAAACAAAGCGCTGTGTTGTTGTCATTGTATATATATATTTATTACTTTTTACAATATCTTTCAACGCACATATCTTGATAATTGATAATGCATATACATCCAATTGAATTACGCATATGAAGGTGATAAACTAGATAACACACAGAAAAAAAAAACAAAAAAAACAAAAAATAAAATATTAAATCACACTCCTACCTAATACCCTTTTTTCCGTTCCGTCAACACATTATTCCACTGTAGAAAGTAATACTGTTACAGCAGTACACTCATTTCATTTAATTTCCCAGAGAATTAGAAAAGTGAGAGAGACAGAGAGGGTACAATAACATTTTAATGGATCCTCTGTAAATACTTAACGTAGATCCCGATTTTTTAACAGTAACTTGATGCTTCTGTTGTGATTGAAGTGTTATCGTACTCGAGTGTATATGACTGTGTGAAAAGTAGCTTAAATGAAGTAGGAATAGATAGTTGTAGAAAAAAGAAAACATTGTGTGAGTGTGTACTTTCCAACTGCGCCTTAAACAACACTTGCATGACCAGCGTATACCTTCATACATATCATTGATTTTCGCACATTTCTCTCTCTCTCTCTCTCTCTCTCTCTCTCTATGCATTTGTCTATACTCTCATCTCTCATCTGTATACCCATAAATTTTCTGTGTCTATTATAGTATACCATAATATTAATATATCATTTAAGAATGATGTATAAATGTAAAAGCTTGTCCTCTTAAAAAGAAAAAAGAGATCAGTGACTGCTGTATTGAAAATTGCTGGAAGTGGCATGCACTACGTATGATATATCTATACGTACGTGTATCCCGTGTGCTGTACAAAGCTTTGACGCGCAGCTGCGACGACCTACAGCTTGTTAAGTACCGCTACCAGCACCACCGTGGTACTCAATATGTATATAAGAAAAAAAAAAAAAAAAAAAAAAAAAAAAAAAAAACAAAAAAA